CGATTATTACCGAATCGACAATTTGCGAGGAGAAATTTCATGTAGACACTCTTAAGTGACTTTTTATCCTGGAAGTTATTGAATAACATTTGTTGATCTCTTTTTAATGGCATTTCCTATGGGCTCCTTCTTGAAATTTTTAAATTGTATTCGATTATTTTATTAAATACCCAAATTTTAGGAAGAAAAGAGAAAATGGCATTTTCTATGGACTCCTTGAAATTTTTAAATTGTACTCAATTATTTTATTAAATACCCAAATTTTAGAAAGAAAATGGCATCTCTTTTTAATGGCATTTCCTATTGGCTGTTTTTTGAAATTTTTAAATTGTATTCAATTATTTTATTAAATACCCAAATTGTAGATTGAAAATAGAAAATGGCATCTCTTTTTAATGGCATTTTCTATAGGTTCCCTTTTGAAATATTTAAATTATATTCAATTATTTTATTAAATACCCAAATTTTAGAAAGAAAATAGAAAAATTCCAAGAGTGTTTAAGGAAGAAAGATTTGTAGAGAGTAACCATTTGACATTTAAGAAATTCTAGAGAGCATCGTTGCACAATAAGTGCATCGACAAGCGCGTGGAATCATGTTATGTCTCCGACACATGTAATTTATGCGTGTACATATTAGTATCCACCACATTCCTCTTTGTGTGTAAATCTATTAAATATTTCGAACAATGCCTAATACACTTTGAATTGTTAACGGAAAGGAAAAATGACAGAAGGATGGATATCGTTTAAGATGGAATCAGTGGCTCGTCCGGCTAGCTCGTTTACCACTGATTACCATGCACGTGGCGGTGTAATTAAAAACTCTGACTGGCACACTTTGAACCGACACTTCGAAAATACATCATTGTTACATCAGCCTCGTTCAAGGGTTACGCACAATAGGGTGGCTGTGTTATCGGGGAACCATGAAATTGAACGGTTACACTTGTAATTAAGCATACAATAGTTTGTAACTGGTCGTTCATTTGCGTTTCAGACGTCCACAAGCTTTTACGACTTAACAATGGACGTAATTGCGGAATCCTAAGGACTTTCATTTTGCAAATTATTAAAAGAGAAATTGTATTTTCAAAATTCACCTTTTCTTTCTTAAAAAGTAAATTATTTACAAAATTAATAAATGTAATTTAGAACGTATACAGGGTGTCCCAGTTTCAGTGGTCCAAAAGCAAGTGGGTGATAGAGGACATCATTTCCGACAAAAAAAAGGTCCTATAATATGTTCGATTTTTGATGGTTTAAAAGTAATTTCAATTTTAGTGAGTTGCTCATTATTTCCTATCTTTCGCAACAAAATCCATTTGTAGTAAGATTATCAAAATTTTAAATGATTGAGTCCATGAATCGAGATAATTTTTCTAATAGAAAACCCACTTTTCGTGAAGACATTTTCTTTCATAACGATACTTTTAAAATTAAAGACGAAATACCAAAATCAGTAATTATTCCAAATAAAGAGATACTTCATAAAATTTTCTAGCAAACAGAAAATAATTTGTTTTTCTGTTTGGTAGCCACATTAATCAAGTACATGTAGGCTGAATTTGAAACCAATCCACCGAGTACTTCAATCATAGTGATCGATTTTGTTCGATCACTAATCACTAAAATTGGAATAATTTTTGAACCATCAAAAATCGAACATATTATTATAGGACCTTTTTGTCTTCTATCACACACTTGCTTTTGGACCACTGAACCTGGGACACCCTGTAATAATGTTCTGTCTGTGTAATGCGTTTATCTTGTGGACAGAAGGAACGGATCAGGTATAATTGCGTGCGAAACGGTCGTGGAACTGGTCGTTCCTTGGAAATCAGTTTTATTAGGGGCGGGTTCTTAGCACAGGAAAAGGTGGACACAGAACTGTCTTTCGAGCCCTTACAACGACTAATAGTCATTCTCTACGGCACTGGCTTTGTCTAATAATACCGACGTTGGTATGGATTCGCGTAAGATAATATCCTCTTCTCGAATGACGAAGATTCCACGCGAACAGCGAGCAGGAAAACGCATTCGCGATCACGGAATGTTGAATTCGTCCGCGAAGACTTGAAATTATTTTTCCCAGGAATACGTTTTCGCGTGACGTTAAAAAAAAGATCTATTTGCAAATAATTTTAACCGGTTTATCGATCGATCGATGATAATTTTGTCGATTGATTTTCAGTTCCCTGAACATTTACGATCGTTAAAATTCTATCAAACGTAAAAAACAACATTGAAGGAGACAAAAACAAGTAATCTGAAAAATTCATCGCACGATCGAACGACGTGCCGAATTTTTGCGATTGGTGGACGCGTGAAAAATAATGAACGATCCAGGGGTGTGCTAATAGAGCGTGTTGAATTTCGGTTTCTACCGAACGCCTGCTATGCATAGATAATGCTGAAAAGTTGCGCAACATTTTCCTGCCCGATTACGATCAAGGTGAAAGTCTTCGAGTTCGCCGAAGCGAAACGTTATCAGCAGGCGAACCTCGTAAATTATAGACAATGTCGTTAGAGAATGTCCTTTAACGACGAGCATGGACATTTTCTAGTCCGAGGATAATTCCAAACAAATAGATATAGTCATTAAATATTTTACCTTATATTACTCCTTTGAATTCAAATTTTAATTTTAAAAAATCTAGAAATCTGAAAAAAATTAGAAAAATCTAAAGATCTAAAGAAAATTAGAAAAATCTAGAAATCTGAAGAGAATTAGAAAAACCTAAAGATTTGAAGAAAATTAGAAAAATCTAAAGATTTGAAGAAAATTAGAAAAACCTAAAGATTTGAAGAAAATTAGAAAAATCTAAAGATTTGAGGAAAATTAGAAAAATCTAAAGAACTGAAGAAGATTTAAGAAATCTAAATTTCGGGCCATTTTGATCCCGAGCTCCGCGATCCTTGATTACGTTACCAATCACGGTGAACTCGAAAACAACAGCCGGACTAGCTGGATAGGATTATGTCACTGGCGCAGAAAGAGCCTGCCAAGTCGACCTGGGTGAACGCCGAGGCTCCTTTCCTCGCAGGACTTCACTCTGGCCCCGGGGTGAATCAGTCCTTTGTGCCTGGCTCTCTCAGGGTCAACCGCTTTCGGTGCAGTATATGCCTGCAACGTTTACACGTACACGGAGCGAACACGTCCGTTCGTCTGACCGTGGTCTACAGGGTGTCCTAGAAGTCCTAAGTAGCGATTAGAATTCCTTCCTAATGGAGAGAGCCTCGATTTCAACTCAGTTTTGTATTTCACCTTTAATATTTCTTAACTCTAGGACGACGGACCATGGAGAGAGCCTGAAATTGAACTCAATTTCGCATTTCATCTTTTAACTAACGTTTCGTACCAATAGACAGGGGGTGTTTCATTACTGTGGATTCTAGGTAAAAATGGAATCTTTTCTAATTAATTTTGAAAATTTTCTTAATATTTTTATCGATGGTACTATGAATATAAGATACCATGGATACTTTATTATAGGGTAGTATAAAGTCTCAACTTTTTCATCTTTTTCTGACTCTTTCAGTCAGTATCTTTTAAGTTTGAAACGGAACTCGAGCGAGAACCTTTCGCCAGAGTATAAGCAAAGAATCTGAGTCTTCTTCAGCATCTTTACGTAACTTCGAGCAGAGAACGTTGCTAACTGCGATTTAGTACGCGACCCGATGCTTTACGATGTGCTCGTTTAAAGAATCTCTCTCTTTCTGTATATTCGTTAAAATTGAATTTGAAAATTCGAAACATCCTGTTTCCCCGAATTTTCAGATAAATTTTCATAATGGAAGATTTCATTTGTACGATATTCTACGATTATCATAATGAAAGGGTTTAGACAGAGACAAAGATTGCGTCGTTCGAGAGAGCGGTTTCCTTCGCAGCCGCAACTTATCCTGCTCCTTTTCTTGTCTCGGCTCTTTTTGTTGGCGCGACGTTTTAGCAAAATCGAAGAAAAAACACTTGGGAAGACCGTGACTCTTGCTAAAGGGTAGTGGGAGGTTCTCAGGAAACGAAACGATGACGAAGAGAGTATTAGACCGAGCAGACAAAGTGGTCGTATAAACTCTTTGGAGAATTCAACTATAATTTCATATATCAATAGAGAATATTATACCTTGATTATTGCAAAATGAAAAAAAATTTGTACTTCTGTAAAAATTCTTGAAACGTTTATCGCAAACACTAGTTCTACGTAGAAAACGGAATCGTTAAGCGGATAAGAATATCAAGAACGTGGACAGGATGTCTCATGGTTCTCACGTTCGTCTCGCTCATCTTGTGCGAAGATTCAAAATTGCCTCACCGCTGACGTCATCAGCCTAAATTGACGTAGTTGCAATTCAGTGCACGACAGAAAAACTATAACACCTCGAGTAGACTCTGATCGCCCCAATTTTCCTAATTATAATTAGAAGATTCTCGACGAGTAATTAATTCGAGTTTGCTCTATATGCACGATAGAAAAACTATGACACCCCGAGTAGACTCTGATCGCCCCAATTTTCCTAATTATAATTGGAAAACTCTCGACGAGTAATTAAACTTTTCTCTAACGATTTTAAATTCGAGTTTGCTCTATATGCACGATAGAAAAACTATGACACCCCGAGTAGACTCTGATCGCCCCAATTTTCCTAATTATAATTAAAGAACTCTCGACGAGTAATAAACTTTTCTCTAACGATTTTAAATTCGAGTTTGCTCTATATGCACGATAGAAAAACTGACACCTTGAGTAGACTCTAATCGCCCCAATTTTCCTAATTATAATTGGAAAACTCTCGAAGAGTAATTAAACTTTTCTCTAACGATTTTAAATTCGAATTTGCTCTATATGCACGATAGAAAAACTATGACACCTTGAGTAGACTTTGTTCGCCCCAATTTTCCTAATTATAATTAGAGAACCCTCGACGAGTAATTAACCTTTTCCCTAACGATTTTAAATTCGAATATGTTCTAATTTCCAAGGTGGATTTTTGTTACAGAATCGAGACGCGTACCGGGCGAACGTTATCAGGTGAGGGCGCAGTAGCTTCCGGCGAGGCAATCGAAAGATGGCGGCCGTGGGTATGGATAATCCGGCGTTCGTCGGCGAGGATGAATGTACGAACGAGACGACGCAAAATGATAATCAGCAACAGGTAACCTTGGACCAGGATCGCAAGTCCGTATCGGAGAGCATCCCCGTCGAAAATGGCCACCAACGATCGTTTGTGTCGCAGCAACACGTGGAAGCCGGAAGAACCAGTCCGGAAACGCATTATAGAACCGAGACGAAGATAGAGGTGCCCGAAAGTAACATGGAAAGAACCGAGACGAAGATGAACGGCGTTCACGGAAACGGAAATAACAACGATGCCAGTTTCCTGAACAGCAGCACGACCAGCGTGCAGACGAATGGTGAGTTTTAAGATGCAAAGTCATCCCTTGATGATTTGATGACATAAAAGTATCGCAAAATAGCATTTGCAATACATCAATTTGAAGTTTAAAGTTTGACGAAAAAGTCTGTATAAAAATTTCATAATTCTGCAACGATAATCAAGTTCCTTATTCAATTTAGTAACTCGTATCTAGAAACGCAACTCATGGATAAACGAATGAAAAAAGGTGTGGTTTACGTAAGCGCAGACCACAGGCTCTTACCGACGAATGCAGAGAAAATTCTTCGCGACAAAAAGGCAATGCGTAGCCGGCTGTTGCATTTTTCCTCTTCGCTTACGTGCAATCCGCTTCGCGTAATCTCGCGGACTTGGTCGGATTTGTAACAAGTACCCTATCGATTTCCTATAATTCTACCTTGAATAAATGTAATAATTCTTTTTTTAAATTCAAAATACAAAACTATATTAATTAATGGTTCCTTTTTAAATTTCTATGGAGCTCTAACGAGAAGAATTCTTTTTCTACAAATGATTACGTTCCCATATAAGATCACGTAACAAAAGTTCAACGTTGTTTCGATCGAACGAAAGAAACATGTCCGGACGTGCGTAGAATTCGAAAGCAAGGTAGAACAGGTAGAACATTGCTGAAATCTGCGTCGATCGCGCGATTTTACCAGATATGATCGAGACGAGCCGAACTTTCGATCGTTAATTATTACCACCACCATCGTCACAACCATCGGAACTTGCCAAGAAAAAGTCGTTCGAGGTCGGTGAAACGCAGAAAGTATATGAACCGTCCTTAAAACTTTGAAAAAATTTCATTTACTTCGGTTCGAAAATTAACGAGCATTAAATTACTCGTTTGTCTTTCAATTAGAATTAGGATCGTCCTTAAAATTTGGAAAAATTTCATTTACTACTGTTCGAGAATTAACGAGCATTAAATTACTCGTTTGTAGGTATCAATTAGAATTAGGATCGGCCTTAAAATTTTGAAAAAATTTCATTTACTTGTGCTCGAGAATTAACGAGCATTAAATTACTCGTTTGTCTTTCTATTAGAATTAGGATCGTCCTTAAAATTTTGAAAAAATTTCATTTACTTCTGCTCGAGAATTAATTTCATTTACTTCTGTCTGAAAATTAACGAGCATTAAATTACTCGTTTGTCTATCAATTAGAATTAGAATTGTCCTTAAAATTTTGAAAAAATTTCATTTACTTCTGCTCGAGAATTAACGAGCATTAAATTACTCGTTTATCTATCAATTAGAACTAGAATTGTCCTTAAAATTTTGAAAAAATTTCATTTACTTCTGCTCGGGAATTAATTTCATTTACTTCTGTCAGAAAATTAACGAGCATTAAATTACTCGTTTGTCTTTCGATTAGAATTAGGATCGTTAACGATACGCGGTAATTAGCGATAGAGGAATTCCTATGGCAAAGAATATTTACCCAATATCGGTACATCGACTTTTGAACTATACACAGGTGAACACGCAATTAACTAACTTCTTCTCCTATTAACATCGATTTTACGGCACGCGAGGTTCCGCCCCGTAAATAAATACTCTGCCACGGATATGTAATTTCCACACCTGAGAATTACGTAAACTCGCACTTACTACATCCATCGACTAACTACTGTGTGTGTGTTTGAATTTATTTGCCCAGCTAAACCTACATATTATTTTGAAACTATGATTCGATGATTCTATCGATCAAGATTTTCCTATTTTATTTTCATAGACAATGGGAAGAAGGAGCAGATCGAAGCAGTGAATTTGGAGCTAGTCTCGATGAGGCCCTATGCAGGGAATAATCAGACCAAGGGTCAAGAGGCTTGCGAGGTCCCAGCTGACCCCTATGAGGAATACTTCGTTCCAGTGAACGAGCATCGAAAGTACATCAGGTAATAAATCTTCAAAAATATTTCTTCTATCTTGGGGTAAAGTTATTCGAACTTTCGAAAAATAATAACGGGGTTGTCAAAGAAAAGGAACGAGTGACAAATTAATATACAGTGACTCACGAAATTGATCGTCGTTATACTTTTTATTTAATCAAAATGTAGTGACTAATTATAGATCTTTTAATTAAGTTTTTTTTTTACCTTGTTCAAACGTTAACTGTTCTAAGAAAGCTATGAACATTGTTGCTATGTGATCAATTTCGTGAGCCACTATATTTAAAAATTGTACAAGGGAAATTTCAGGTCCATGAATTATTCAAATAAACTGATGTTTTCATAAAAGAAAATGATTGATCGTTTTGTTGATTTCGAAAATCTCGTTCCATTCATCTATTTGGTTTATTTGCCAGCGTGTTCTCCGTTTCTTTGCTTCGAATATTTGCAAATGCTAATGTATGCCTAGATCCTTCGCATTTTTGCAATATGGAAATTTTATGGTAAAACGGCTGGTTTCCTTTCTTGTAACAATTCCTGCATTCCACCAGCAAGTAATTAAAAATCTTACACCATAATGATTAATTCGGTTTTCAAATTCGTTTTCATACAAATACAGATCAGAACAAACTCGTCTCTTCTATCGTTATAAGAAGACTTCGCTTAATTGGAACGAGTATCGACGAGAAACTTGAGATCGGACAGTTCGTATCCAATTGAAAAACGATCCAGATCGTGTCGAACGTGTGAGAAATGCAAATGTAATGAATAAAAAGAGTGAAAAAAAAAAAAATTGCGGATACTGGCGGAACGAACGAAGGTCCTCGGATATTGCGGGTTTACATTCACCGTTGGAAGAACTTGCGAAACGAATGTGTCACAATATTTCATTGGAAAATGTAGGAATGACCGTCTATTGCAAAAATGATCGTCCTTCGTCAAGCGGTCTTAGCCAGACAGAAATAGAATTAGAACCCTCGCAATAATCACGAAATATTTAAATAATTCTTTTCACAATGTAAAGTAACAAATGTTAGTCGTAGTGTCGCGTTGTTCCCTTTCTCGCTTGCTTCTCGTTCGATGTGGTAGATTATCGATAATCGATACATATCGAAAATTCTATCGTTAGGTTAGATTAACGCGAATATGAATTCATGAAAAATGAAAGATAGATTTTCGGTGCGGTGCAATGAAGGAAGACAATGATTCTTCGTACAGAACATATGATTAAAAAATTGGTAATAGAACGTAGAAACTACAAGCAACGATTCAGAAACCTATAACCTAATGCCTGGAACCTAAAATTGTTCCCTTAACCAAGATAAGCCTACATTGCACCCGAGTGTACATCTGCGAGTGTGGACGAAGTGAAATTAGATCGATCGGCTTGATCGACGCGGAATACACAACGATCACACACAAAACACGTATACACAGGCCAGCTGAGTAGAAAGTTAGACGGTGTTTTTTCTTGTCACGATACGTAGCAGGGGTCCCGAGGCCGAGGTTGAAACAACCGTGGCTGGAGTACGTTTTGATTTGGGCCCCGGCGTTGGCCGCGAGGGACTCAGCCTGAGAGACCCTACCGCAGGACTGGTCGACTATTCCCACTGGCTGACAGCCCTCAGGTACTTCAAGGATGCTTACGAGCATTAGGAACAAGGGAGATGCTGCAATGAAAAAATTGGTGGATGCGCACGATCGCCAACTAACCCGCTTACACCTTGCTACTCCTACGATTTTATCCCCCTATTTTTGACACTTACATCACCAGGGGCATTATTGTTCAATGTACGCTACTGATTTTCTTCTCATTTGATATACTCTAGATCAGCTATTCTTAACCGTCGGTCCGCGAAGAAGTTTAAAAAAATTTTCTTATTCAAAAAAGAAAAAATGATACAATTTTTATTTATAAAATTACGAAATAAAAATATTTTTAACTAATTTCAAATTTACGTTATTTATGATTACCTAGTAAATTTCTTTAATAGCTAGTAAAATCTTTTTGTTAAAAGAAAAACACCGATTCGCTGGCTAGAGAAAGTTGAGAAACACTGTTCTAGATTGATACCCCTCTGGGATGAGATAATATTAATATTAAAAAATAGTAGTCGAACATTTGAATGCTGTGTTCCACGTCAGCCTGGTCCCTTCCCAATGATGGAATGCAAGCAATTCACTGATCCCTAATTAGCGATTGCACCGTGACGACACGTGCTCATAGACAAGGCTAGTCCAGATGGAAAGTTCAATTCTTTTTTTTTCTTGCAAAAGAAAGAGACCGATGCTTGGAGGTTCGCACATTCCCTTAGTCGCAATACCAGCATCGCTGCTAGTCGTCGACGTGATGCATTTAAAGAAACCGATCACAACACTAGCGCCCCTACATACATGGACACAATCACAAGTATCCTTACAGGAACTCACGGTTGTTCCTTTGGTTCACGTGCAAAACAGACTTGAACAAATTCGAACGAGAGCAGGGTAGAATAAGCGACACATCGTGAACGAAATCGAATGAAATAATTAGACGTGTTTATTCCGAGTTAGAATAATGGAAGCTTCTAATACCATGATCGCTGAAGGAGGAACATTGACAAGCACAGTGCTGTACAAAATACGCTTACTTTGGGCTCTAGGATGAGGGTGAATAAATTCGGTGATTACGATGATTCTTAATCATTTGTGACATTGTGTTACAGGGGCGAGAAGCTGTATGTTACGAAGGACAAGAGATCTAGGAGCTCCTATTGGAGACGGATGGCCTGTTGGGGATGTGGTTTACTGGTCCTACTAGTTGCCATTATCATCGCCATTTTGGCAGCAAGTAAGGACCTTTGTATTAGAAATTAATTATACCTAGCGAGTGTTATTTCGCGATTGCTTTTATGCGAAAATTCATTCTATTTCAGCCGGAGTAATTTTAGCCCAAGAGGCGTCAGAACCTTTAGAAAATCTGGAACAAACGAAATCCCGGCAATTCGGCGACGTGCGAACAGCGGGAAGCCAAGAGTACGTGAAGAACCCACCGCCGAGTCCTCCACCCGCCACTTCGAGCTTCCCACCCTGGCAAACGACCGACGAGAATAGGTACCTATTCGTCGCGAACGCCTTGGATGGAGTATTGACATTGGACCAATTCACCTGGGACCAAGAATTAAGGAACCACACGTCGGAAATGTACAAAGCGTTCAGCTCGCAGATAGAAAATCACCTGAGGAACGCGATGCAACCCACCATGGACGAGACGACGGTTAAAGTGTATCGTATAATGAAGGACGGAGAAGTGGGATTTAGGATAAATTATCCCCCAAATTCTTCCCCGGAGGAAACGCAACAGAGGATGGAGGATGCGTTACTAAAGGATGCCAACATGATTGGACAGCATCATGTAAGCAGATTAGAACTCAGCAAGCTTTTGGACGAATGTCAGACCAGTTGGTTAGGCTGTTCCGAAAGTTGTAAATACAATTACACGAAGGGTACGTTCGCGTGCTATTGTTCGGATGGGAAAATGTTGGACGCTGATGGAAAGACGTGCGTCGATGAGAATGATCTGAGTAACGTGGAGATGGACGATGCACCGGAAGTTCGTACGGAGGTGGTGCACGACTATGCTCAGCCTAGAAGCAGAGGACCCGGTACTGTGTACGAACCTAGACGCCCGGATAACTGGGACCACATGGACCATGATTTACCCGGAGGGGGACACTACCATACCGAAGAAGACTCTCATTCGCCTTCGTATTCGGATGATGGTTCCTCGGAACCAGAGTCTACTCATGTGCATAGCGAAGATGGAAATCATGAGGTTAAAGATGAAGAGGATACAGTACATTGGATGCACGATCATTCGAATCATTATACTGTTGAACCGAAGGCAGAGCCTGAACCTTCTGATGGAGGAGAGCCTTCTAGTGAACCAGAGCCTTCTGATGTAGCAGAGCCTTCTAGTGAACCAGAGCCTTCTAGTGAACCAGAGCCTGCTGCGGTAGAACCTTCTGCTGAACCAGAGCCTGCTGCAGTAGAACCCTCTAGCGAACCAAAATTTGCTGAACCAGAGCCCTCTGGTGAACCAAGACATGCTGAACCCGAACCCTCTGCAGAACCAGAACCCTCTGCAGAACCAAAACCTTCTGCTGAACCCGAACCCTCTGCAGAACCAGAACCTTCTTCTGTACCAGAACCCTCTGCAGAACCAAAACCTTCTGCTGAACCAGAACCCTCTGCAGAGCCAGAACCCTCTGCAGAACCAGAACCTTCTTCTGTACCAGAACCCTCTGCAGAACCAAAACCTTCTGCTGAACCAGAACCAGAACATTCTACTGAACCTTCAGCTCAGCCAGAACCTGCTACAGAACCTTCAGCTCAACCTGAGCCTTCTGCAGAACCAGAACCCTCAGCTGAACCAAAGCCTTCCTCTGAGGCAGAGCCCCCCATTGAACCAAAGCATACTACTGAAATAGAGCCTTCAGCAGAGCCAGAACCAGCTGGTCCTGTCGAACCTGAGCCTACAAGTGAACCACAGGCACCTTCTGATGAACCCAAGTCCACTGCAGGGCTGTGGCCTGCAGAGGAACCTTCGTCTGAACCGAAACCATCAGAAGAAAAAGGATCTTCAACTGAACCATCCACACAACCCATACCTTCTGAAATGGAACCAGTCGCTGAACCGAAACCTTCAAATGAGTTGGAGCCTTCAACGAAATCAACAGTGACAGAGCATCCTGAACTAGAACAACCTGAGTTGTCTCAATTTCCTCACACTACCATCAAATCTGAGGAGGAGGAATCTCCTGTTGAACAAGAATCAACAATGCCTTCTACAGAAATGATCCATAATGTTGAACATTCCACTGAAATGCAGGATGCTATGCAGCCACAAACAACTGAGATGCCCTCCAGTAAAACAGACTCTTCCATTGAATCTATGACCACGAATAAAATGATCGTTGAATCGGCTACAGAATTACCTGCTACTGAATCACCTGATTTGTCGAAGACACCTGAATCTTCAACGACCAGCTCTGAAGCTGACAACACTGGTATGCCTATAACCATGGAAGCAGAGTCTACAACACCAATGGTGTCTGCAGAAACAACACTGCCAAATATTGATAAATCCATGGATGAAATGGAAAATAATAATGCACCTATGCCAGTGATACCTCTGTCTGATGAACAAGAAGACAGTAAAACCACTGTTGTACCTCCAACAGATACAACAATGAGGGAGATGAACAATGAAGAGCAAATGGTGACAACCATTGAACCCAGCAAAGAAGAAATATCAAAAGTTGATCAAGTCACTGAAACTAATACACCTAGTGACGAAACAACCGAGTATACAACGATCAGTACAAACAGCGAAGAAAATACAGCTTCAGTGACTTCGTCCAGTAGCAAATCTATTCCTGAAACAACTATGAGCTCTGAGACAGCGTCTGTCTCAATGGACGCAATGTCAGAAAACACAACCGAGGTTAATTCTGTCCCAGACAGTGGTACAGAAATGTACAACGAAACTGTCGAGCCTAAAGAAGAGCCTAAGTCGCTCGATTTGGGTTCAACATCGCAGGAAGCGAATGAAACCAACGTCATCGATCACATACCGACAACGATCTTCCCTAATTTGCCAAAAAACTTCAGCCACAACATCGAGCCACTCATAGAACCGCTTAAAAACAACACAGACAACGAACACATTATGATCATCCCAGTGGTACATGGAACCCAGGAGCAAGATCCTCATTCCATCATTCCTGAGTTGATTCCAGAGAGCATTCAGTCTAGCAACTCATCATCCACGCGGATATCTGAGGTTACCACGGTTGAAAACACAGTTCAATCCTCAACAGAGAAGACCGACGTTGTTTTCAATCGTTCTACGATCCACCCCGAAGAGAATATCGTGTCCGGCGATCCAGGCGACTCTGTTCGCTACGGGGACAATTTGGATCACTCTACCAGTCATCCTCTGCACCCAGCTGTCTTCCCTGAGAACACGGTGGAGCATGTGACCGAGAAATCCGATGATAAACACGCTGATGACATGTCTCCCTTCTTGCCGGATGTCCAGAAGGAGAAGGAAGTGAAGAAGGCGCCTAGGTTGGACAAGGACGAGCAGGATGTACCTAATCCTTTCGAAGGACACGTCGAAGACGTGGTCACTGACAAATCTTTAGTGGAAACTGAGGAGAGGACGAACGAGACCGAAGCAACGGATTCTTTGAACGATGTTCATCCAGAAGTGGATAAAGAACACCCGAACAAGAGTGTGGAAAACGGAGTGGGTCGTGGATTCAAACAGGATGCCTTGGACGTTCTTGAGATCAACGACACTGAGTCAGGAATACAGAATGCACTGAACCCGTACGATGTTAACAAACCGGAAGATCAACAAATGATGAAGAGTGACGTGGAAGAGGACGAGGAGGCGTTGAAAGTGGTACCACTCGAAGAGGAGATCAGGGGTACGGAAATGTCTGTGAAATATGACGTGGATAAGGATAATACGGAAGTGACCGAGTCCAGTGCAAGCGTAACTCCAACGGATGATCAAGAAAGGAGGTTAAACGAAGCAGCTGTGAATAATACAACGATTACTTCTGAGAAACCCGAGGAAAATGTTGTAGAGGATCAGTACAATGACATAAATGATGATACTCTGTCCAAAGGATACCAATCTGACGATTCGAAGCTTCACAAGAAGCTGGCTGATAATGAAGAGAAACTGTTGAAATCATCAAACGTGCTCTTCATTGATGATAAAACAAAGTCTACAATGAATAATACAGAAGTTACAACAACAGCTGGCAGTGTTCTAGATAAACTAACCACAGAAATACCAGTGCTGCCCATAGAGATACAACAGGACATGTCTACAACTGAGAAAATTGAAAGTACCACCGTTGCTGAAGAGAACAATAAAAAGGAGAATGATTCAAATCATCAGGTGAGCGCAGAAGCGACAACGCTTCAGGTACCAACCACTCAGATGCTTCCAATGGAAACTAAGACCACTGCTCAGGTACCAATACTCCCTGAAGAGCTTCAAACTACTGAAAGTGATTCACCGTTGACCACTTCATCTATTAGACCTGATATGAACACGACAAGCCCCCATATGGAGAGTACAGAGTCCCCAATTCACAATAAAACAGAAGAATTGATAAGCAGTGAAGTGGATGTTCAAAATAATCAAACAAACGACATGATAGCAAGTTCTATGCACCACTTTGGTGATAACAGAAGCATCAATGCCACCTGGTTGCAGATAGATGTCCCAATTTTGAATAACACGAACGAAAGTGAAGAAAATGTAACCACACCATCGACGACACACCTTGAAGAGAACACGAAGAATGAAAGTGTTGCAGCAACCTCGATATCTCTGGCTACCACCACTGTCGAGTCATATAAACAGAGCTCTGACAGTTCTTCTAGTACTACCGAGGATGTTAGGCCAGTCACTGAGATACTCGAAGACGATACACTGCCTGTGAGTTTTGATTACAGAACCCTGTTAATCACCACGACACCCAAGACAGCGCTGCCTGATCTGGATGTTGGAGAATTGTCTGAAGAGGATCTAAGGGTGATCCCATTGGAGAAAACATTAGATCTGAAGAAGAAATCAACGGATAAGAAGGTGGTTGATAAATACAAATACAAAAAAGAGAAGGAGCTGAATTTGGAAGAGCACCAAAGTGAAAATGTGCTGACCGAAGTCCCAGACCCAGCCACTGTCTTCTCCACAGAGGTACCTCGACCCATCAATGATATTCAGGATCACGATACAAGTGAAGTCTCTAAATCAGTGGAAGAGGATTCTTCGTCAATACCAAAGCTGAAGATCATTGAAACAACGTTTAATAGAACAGGAACAGATACTGAACAGAATAGAACTATACCAGCTAGTACCAAGAAGTACCCCAGCTTCATCCCCGTCTCTGAGGAGATAATAGAACCAGAACCTGTCACAGAACCCTTCGTGGTCATCCGAAATTTCTATCTGAATCGACAAAATGCAGATTTCACCACAGAGAGCCCAGCAATGGTCAGTGAAGCCAGTATCGAAGGACACACAATGATGGAAGCAAGGAACATCAGTGAACTGGATAGCGTAACATCTTCTACGACTGAATCAGTCTCTTCGTCTACTCAAGATTTAAATGAAATGATGAAGGACCAGCCTGTAGACGCGACTGTCCCATCACTGATCCAAACCAAGTCCCCTGATACAATGGTGGAAAGCACCAGTCATATCGACGTATCTTTCTTGAATATACCTGAGAACGTTGTCTTTTCCAAGTGCACAACTGGTCAATTCCAGTGTGTCAATGGAACATCGAGGGATGGTGCTTATTGCGTTCCTCTCTCAGCAAAATGTGACTCTGAGAATGATTGTTCCGACGGTTCGGATGAATTGAATTGCAAGGAACAAGGTTGCCCGGAGAATTTCCAGTGTGCGAGTGGTCAGTGCTTGAAAAGAGACCTGGTGTGCAACAGGATCGTCGACTGCGACGACGGAAGCGATGAAATTAATTGCGAGGAATGGAAATGCCAGTTCGACGAGTTCAAGTGTCCCAGTGGTAAGTTTTCAGACTTTGTGTTCGAAGTAAATTCTTCACAATTGTTACATAAACAATATTTAAATGCAAAAATCGAAACGATAATCACGGAACGAAAGAAGTGAAAGGAAAAACTGGCACGCATTAGCATGATCAATAGGTGCATGTTTAATATTAATAGGTTTTGCAATCAGTCAAGCGATAAATGATCTAATACTCGCGTAGATGATTCTTAGAAACACGTATGTTATTAATATCGGTAGCTACCATCAGAGGAAATTGCTCGTAATGATTACGCGATATCGAGGTATCTCTGAAGCTGAATAAAAAATTTTCTTGCAATTTTAGGAAGGTGCATCCCAGGTATCTGGCAATGCAACGGGCGACCCGATTGCGAGGATCACCGCGACGAGTACAACTGTGCCGAAAGTTGCGGCAACGAGGAGTATCTGTGCCCGACAGAGAAATGGTGCATTCCGTTGACGTGGCACTGCAACGGAATCAACGAATGCGCCAACGGGGAGGACGAAAAACTCTGCGACTGTGGCATTGATCAATTCAAGTGCCAAACAGGAGGATGCATTCCAGAGAATCTGGTCTGCGACGGTATCGAACACTGTCCTGATCATTCGGACGAATGGAACTGTTTAACCATGAATACTGGCCCCGAAAGGAATTTAACAGACGTGCAGAAAGAAACCGAAGAGAGTAATGGAGCCCAAGAATTAACGGATAGCACCTCTTTGTTAAAAATAAGGTAGCTATTTCACTAATTGGGCCTCCTTTTATCTCAGCACTTAGGCTCTCAATTAGAAATTATACATTTATCTGTTCTTATGCTGCAGACAATTTAACGGCGAATCTCGTCTGGTTTGTTCCGACGGATGGAGCGAGGAGTTCAGCGACTCGTACTGCCAGTCTCTAGGATTCTCCGGGTCCGAGGCGACCGACTTACAAACATGGGACAAGAATCAGAAGATCCTGAGACTGAAGGCAAATCCGAATCACCGTATGCCTTTGGTCGCGAATCTAGAGCAAGTGGAGTTCTGCGTGTCTGACAAAGTCGTCCAAGTATCTTGCCAAGAGTTTTCTTGCGGCTCCCACTACGGAGAAGGACCTACTGCGAGATTAGTTGGCGGAACTCCAGCCAGCGAAGGACAGTGGTCCAGTGTAGCCTTGTTGAAGGAACCGAAACAAGGTGCTGCTTGTACTGCCAGCATCTTAGGACCAATGCACGTGATCGCGAGTTACTCTTGTACTCATAGGTGAGTTGAAGAATCAAACTGGCCTATCCTCAGAATTACAAATGCAATATGGAAGAATCTTTCTTCTTATGATTTCAGGTTGAAACAGACCAACGGATGGCAATTATTCACCGATAAGAACCTACTGAAACCACTTCCAGTGAAAAGCATCATTCCCTATCCTCAAGTGAAGTACAATCAATTCTTGTACAACAATGATATGGTGTTGGTGGAACTGGAGAAACCTCTGACCTTCTCCAGAAACGTTAGCGCTGTTTGCCTTCCAAAGGATCCAATTCAGGTAGGTATTCAACACCGTAGATGGTAAAGGGTAAGTTGCGAGGATGAAACGAACGTCGCCTTTTAATGTTACAGCCCAGACAGATATGTGTCACGGTGGGATGGGGATTCCCTGTGAACGGCGAGGTGGATTTGCAGAAATATCTGACGTTCCTACCAGTGCCAACCTATGATTCCGAGAAGTGCAATGCGACGAGTCATTACGCAGGATTTATCACTAAGGACAACATCTGTGCTGGATTCACAGACACGGACAAAGGACCCTGCTATGTAAGATTTACTTTCAACCGAAACTCTTTAAATTCTAGAAGAACATTGGTAGCACCTTTGCACTTTTGCCTGACCCTCGACAGAAATAAAAATATTCTACGTTTTTCTGTTCCAGAACGACGAGGGTGCACCTCTGATGTGCGTCAGTGAATCTGGTGGATCAGCCAGATGGGAGATCCAGGGTCTACTGAGCCACCATAGCAGATGCTCAAGGGGTCATCCAGCTATTTATTCTAGCGTCGGACCTGCTCTATCCTGGCTACGCAATTCTGTGCCCGCTTTGCAAACGCAAAGCTAAAGGCAATCTTTTAATTACAAAAGTTATTCGACGAATTCGAGAGGACAGACACACTTATAAATGCGGAAAGTTCATGGGAGGGAACCGACAGACTGAATGTTCCTGTTGAAATTAACGAAACGCAACGAACAGAGGATAATCGTGTACTTAATTCGTGTCTGTTTTTTATTTCAAACAGTATGTTCCTACATAAATGCGAAGAACACTGAACGGCCATAATTTGTTCCGCATTAGAAAAAGAGGTTCTGTATGTAAATGATATCTTTTTTTTTATGATAACTACTGATTAATGGGCTGATACTGCAATATTCCGTAGTTTTTACACTTACGACATCCGTGCAGGAAAATAAAAATGAATGACAGAGAGATATATATCGTATATAATTGGCAACACGATACTTATTTACAATTAAGAAATTTGTAAATACTGTATAAAGCGACTGTTTAATATGCTTAATGTTGTAAGAGATTTTTGTACGAAATAGGTCTCTTTAATGATATTATATAAGTATGACCACGAAAGAAATTCGGTACGTTTCAGACTCCTGTTTTTGTTCTACTTATTATCTGATGGTTTGTTCATTTTATATAATAACTGTATCTAGTAAAAATACTTGTGTAACATGTTCGCAAGTATCATTTAAATCTGGTTATTGTATAGAGATCAACAAAAAAATGAAAGTATTTATTTGAAACAAGAGACCAATATATAAATGCACCAGATTATTCATGCAACTGTTTATTTCAGTGATCCTAAGGGATTTCTGAAATGAATACTGGACTAGGCTAAGAGATAGATAGGATAAATGTATATAATATATAAGTATTTTAATTAATAAAATACATTGTTATAAAAAGATACAATAATAAAATATGTTAATGTATGCATAGTCACTGATAAATAAGTAAGTATTTTTATATACTAAGATAGAAAATAAATGTATTTTAAATGAATTCAATGCCTTCTTTTTTCAAATCCACAGAATTTTATTCTTAAAACCATCAGTTAACTATTATTGTGTATATACAATACATTCTTAATCTAATTGTTTCTTAGGCATAGCTGCAATTTCAGCTGCTGTTACTGTAGCATCTATAGCAATTAATGATTCAGAAATGCTAGTTATCACTTCATTGTACTTAGAAAAGATTTCATTTATATGATTATTTAACCCTTGACTTTCTTCGTACAATTTAAGGTATGATAAATTTAAATTACTAAGTTTGTTCGATAACTCTGGCACATCCCTTAAACAGTCAGTTTCTAATACAGGCATTAACTCCTGCATCTGTTGTAATAATTCATAATTTCTTTGAATCTCTGGTGCCATTGCTAGTAACAATTGGAGTTTAGCTTCAGTAGGTATCTCTACACTTTCAAACTCTGGATCTAAATAACTATTTAGCTCTGGTAACCGTTTCATCATAGCATTTGCTTTCTCTCGTCCTGACAGTGCAGATGAGATTAATGTGTTTACATTCGAAAGCTGGTCAGTCATAGGATTTTCTGGTGGCATATCATTGCCTTGATTTGCCTTCATAAGACCATATATTTGTTTTTCCAAGTGAGCAATTCTATCCTCTAACAACTCAATAGTTCCCATTCTAGACACCAAAACAAAAAATATGTTTCCATACATGAGGTACAAGTTAATTGGAAAAAGAGATACACTGGACTTTGCACAACTTAATGAACTATCTTCCAAGGAGACATGTTAATAGCTCCTTTTTTATAGAATTCATAAGACAAAGTGATTATTAATGGATCAAGAAGAAAATATTCAACTCTACACTCCTAGTTATCTTTCCTACCTATTTATACTACTTACTTGAATACTCACTTGAAAACTCAACAACTGTATTTCAGTCTATACAACAAATAATTATAAATACCGATATTTATATGCCTAAAATTACAAGGCAAAACGTCAATTTTGACAACTGGAATTAGGTTATGTGTACACTCTGAAGTAGTGCAATAATCAATGGAATGCGCTCGGAGACAAGTGACTAAATTCAGAAAATGGCGCTAAATCGAATATGTTCCCACCCTTCAATTTCAATATATTTGACATTTATTACATTAAAACATTGATAATTTCAATAACCAGCAATCATAAATACCTAAATACATGATATAACGCTTATAAATAAATCATAAGACGTTCAAATTTGCTTGAAGCATAGCAATTAACCACACTCAATTTTTGCATGATTTCTTGTTACATTCTTAAACAATATCAAGTATCATTATATTATATTTGCGTATTTAAATGAGACAAATGTTGAAGAATACGTATTCAAATACAATCGTTCTTTATGGTGAGAGGGACTTACCCCAAATCTTCAGCGCAAAAATAGGCAACGGTACCGCTTTAAATAGATTCGTCGTGGTGGTGCATAAGCATGTATATGCATATAAACACATCGTACACACTCCGTAAGTCTGCACTTTTAAATAAATTCTCCCCACTTCACTTTAGGAAACTGTTACAGACGAGTACCAGATAATGTTCGTAAGAGAACCGCGACCGACAAGTATCGCGAGAAGTAGCGGAACCGCGGTAACCGTGGTAGGGATACAGTATCTGACATGGCCGACGTCCGCTGGGAGCGTAGTTTTGGTCGGGCCGTAACGGCGAGTAGTACGCGGTGTATGCAGCAGTGAAAAAAAAACATGGGGTACGATAATGGGCAGACGGTCAAACGAAGAAGGCGTTAGCGAACTCTCGGTCCTTGTACAGGACGATTTATGCGAGAGGACCGCGACGATGGAGTCACGAGCACGGAGGACTCGGTTACGTAGCGTTGTAGGGATATGTTTGTTTCTCGCGCTCACGAGTATCATCTATCTCGGCTACTTTTGTCCGGATCATGTATGCGCTCTAACGAGCCGCGAGATCAAGGAATCCGTAAGATTATCCGAGGGTCTGTCCGCGGGTCCCGGCTCTGGTTTGTCTTCCGTCTCCGTTGAATTCGACAAAAATGGCCTGCTCTCCGTACATCCTGCTTTTAGATTGCAGAGTATTCAAGGGAGCCTCGGTTACGACGATGTCTTTACCAATGATACCTTCCAGTTTGACATTAATGGTCATGATGTAATTGTTTTCTTACATATCCAGAAAACTGGTAAATATCACATACAAATATGTATAAATTGTTTATGTAACTTGTTTTTTCTTTTTAATGAATCTTATAATCCATGACAGCTTTTGTATTTATTTCAGTGTTATTTGAAATTAAATAAATTATTTTAATTTTAAGTTAACTATATGATATCAATATGAGAGAAAGATAATTAATCATGTAAACTGAATGATCCAAATTACTTTAAGATTATGGAATGTCTGCATAAGCACATATTTTTGTTTGACTTTGTACTTAGACTTCTTTGGACTAGTGCCAGCCAATCCTTTATCTCAATAAAAACAATGCAACATCCCTTCTGACCATTGTACAACTGAATCTTTGCATTATTCATCAGGCAATGTGAAACCTCCAAGCCCTATCTTAGAAAGAGAAAGAACAATTCAGGGATGTTGCACTGTTTAATATGCTATTCATGCATATACCTGTTTCCTTTTGTTTTCTGTGTGCATGTTTCTCAGTCTTTCCTTTATAAAAATATGTTTTGATGAAATATGTATTTATATTCCTTTTTGTTACAGGAGGAACATTATTTGGAAAACACTTAGTTAGAGATCTGGATTTGCAAAGACCTTGTTCTTGTCAGAGAAGGCGTAAGCGTTGTTTTTGTTTCCGTCCAAATCGCAATGAAAATTGGCTTTTCTCAAGATATTCTACTGGTTGGAAATGTGGTTTACATGCTGACTGGACAGAATTGACCGGTTGTGTTGATACAGAGTTAAATAAGATCGAAGGGGATGGGATAAAACGTAGATACTTTTATATAACTATCATAAGGGATCCTGTTGCACGATACTTGTCTGAATTTAGGCATGTACAAAGAGGTGCAACTTGGAGAGGTGCTAGACATTGGTGCGGAGGAACACAAGCCAATATACCACAATGTTATCCTGGATCTAGTTGGCAAGGTGTTTCTTTAGAACAAGTAAGTTATATAATGAATTTAATTAACTTCCCTAATTTAGAAATATTTCATTATTCTAGTATTCTCATCCTACATTCATAATAGTATAACTTCTTTCATAAGCAAAACATTCAGTACGTTATCTGAAGGCTTTCATATTTAGAAACACATTAAGATAAGCAATTGCTCTTATCTAAAGTCTACTTTTTCCTCCTTTATATGTATAGATATAGTTATTATGAAAGCAACAATCATTTGATACTGAAATTTTACAACTTACAAAAATCTTTGTTTATGTTGCATAATAAATATAAATAGAAAAAAAAACTGTAAGATTGAAATAGAATAAGTTTTAATTATAAGTATCTATTCCAATGTTTTGATAAGAAAACATTGTGGTTTATGTAGTTTATGGCATGTCCATATAATTTGGCAAGCAATCGCCAAACCAGAATGTTGGCTGACTTATCAATTGTTGGTTGTTACAACTCTACACTCAGCAGCTTGGAGAGAGATCGTCTCATGTTGGCTAGTGCTAAACACAATTTACAATTCATGCCTTTCTTCATGTTGACTGAGTACCAGAAAGTAAGAACTATTTTTTTTTTTTTTTATTGATACACTAACAGTGCATGTTGCATGTTCTAATATCATCACATCTCATTGAAATAATTTCTAATCGTTTTTCCAGTATTTCTAATGTAATGTATTCAAGAAAAAGAGATATCTTCGTATGTTAATTTAAGTTTTATGTTGCATATAAAAAGTTATTTTTAAATTCTTCCTTATAATTTGTTTGAATTTCGAAAGAAATCATTTTAGCTCTGACTTGCTTCAACTATTTATGTTAACAACGTATCTTGTGTTGTACTCGAGAATCATCTGTTGAAAGGTAGCTCTTAATGTAAATATTTGTCTTACCCACCGTACAGGGAACATAAAACAGTTTCCGCTTTTAATCATTTTGTTTTTCATTTAATCAAATAAAATGTTTTCTGATTTACACGCGCGGATTTTAGAATATTTATAAGCCCACAGAATTCATCCGTAACCCGAGTCAATGGGTTTTTTAATCATAGTTATGTGTGATAGAACATCGTTTCATTCCAACTTTGACCTTTTTATTATTCCTTGATTGACATGTTGTTGACCATGATACTGTATGTATATTATTGCATGTATAGAAAACTAATGCACTTATTAATATTCATGATTTAAACAATCATACTTTCCTATCCCATATGTATCTTGTTTAATAGAATGCACATTCCATCTACCATATAAATTGTTACTGTTATATAAATTTTATGACGTTGAATTCTAAATGGTATAGGTGGGACAGTATTCTTTTGAGGAAACATTTGGAATGAGATTTGCTGTTGCATTTGAGCAACATAATGCAACATTGAGTGCCGCTACAATGGCAACTCTTACCGCAGAACAATTAGATGCGGTGCGTAGATTAAATAGATTGGATTTGGAACTTTATGAGTTTGCAAAAAATCTTGCATTTCAAAGATTTAAACGGCTCAGAGATCGTGATCCATATTTCGTACAACGATTTCAACATCTTGGAGAATTACCTTCGAGGCAGAGCGTAACAGAATTCAATTGGGATTCTGTTATTGAAGATACAACGGATGTTGAATGATTTGTAAGTATCTTACTGCTAAATACTACTACCGATGCTTTACATTCACAAGCAAAGAAATTCGCTCTGAATCTGAGCATCTCAGGGATTCATCCTTGAAAGAAAATGTTTTACATAGAATTATTGTGTGCAGTTGTCTGCATGATGTTTACCAAAAGCGTTTATAGGAATTAATTTGGATAAAAACCAAAGAGAGCTCAGAGGATCTTAGTAAAATCCGTGGTATCCTCTTTTAGTAGTTATATGTAAAAGTGTATATTAAATAATGCCACAAATATTTTATGATTTTTACAATGTTCATAAATTCTCTTTAAAAGTTCTTCCATTTCATATAACTTTGCTTATGATACTTGTTTAAAAGTCAGTTCGAAAAGATATTACTATTATAAATTGGATATTTATTTTCTGAATACGTATTTAAATTGGGAAATTTAATACACTCAGAAAGTATTAACATGGATGTGTTCTAAAACATGTGTTTGCCATGTAACATGATACTCATTATTTTAAATATGTTTTCATATTTTTTTAAACGTGGTACAAATTAAGTTTATGATCTTATAATTAAAAATACTAAGTGCATTCAATATTACGAAACATATTCGTATTATTTTCTTTTCGTCTTTCTATGAATATATTTTTCAAAGATAAGATATTTTCTCATATATAAAGAAAAGATATACTTTTGGTATACTACTATACTATAAATTTGTCAATAATACTTTAATCATTTTATTATAAATTAAAGGTAATACTTCGATTTTCAAGTAATTAAGTAAATTTAATATTAGAAAGTTTTCTCCTAAATAAAAATATTTACGTTTGAAAATGATTAATAAAAAAAAATTTCTTGCTTCAAAAATGTATTAAAAATGACAAATTAGGTCATTATGTACATTCCTAACTATACATCAAGGAGATAATAAAAGCGACATTCAGCATATATAAAAATTTCTATTTATAGCAGTTTTCAATGGAAGAATAAATATTAAAAATTAATTTTGTAAATATATCTAAAAGTCTATATTTTTTAACAGAATTATTTGCAATGTTATTTGAATGAAGTGGTATTAGATTTAATAAAAGAGATCAGCATAGTATAGGTGGTAAAATGTTCATGTGAATGTTGGAATGAATGATCATACATTGGATAAACGTGATTAATAATAGGTACTAAATCGTGGGTATCTATTTGATAATATAACAACTCACAACGGTCTTTTTTATTTAGTACCGGTCTATGTTTTTCTAAAATATCCGATTCCCATAGTTTGTCACACTAAATTAGCAAGTCAAAAATTATAAATTTCATTAAGTTAGAAAGAATTATGCAGCTGTATAATCTATTAGAATTGTATGTGCAATACAATGGGTTACCATTATAAATATTTCATATCATTCAGTCATGAAATAAGTGTAATATATCCTATATATACATTAGATATGTTTAGGTAGTTTGCATTAAATCATTATGAAGCAAAATGCAAATGCTCTCTTTAATGTGCTATTCATCTTCTGTATGATTACCATGTTTATATTGTAAGTTAGATTGTAAAATGAGTGCCATGAATTGTATAGGACAAATTAATCTGGTTTTATCCTAACTTTTAAGTTTCGTATTAAACTCAATTATATTGATAATAAAATTGACAAATTTCTTTCTAAAAATTGTTCGTAAATTTAAGGCATTCATTGCCTATGTTAAATATTTTGTTGTTGATTTATAAATGATAATTGCAGTTATTATTTGTCAACTTTTCATGTATTTATAATATTATAATTAGTGCCAATTTAATTTTGATAAAATTAAAATACTTTTTTTTTAATGCAACTTGGTGATTTAGACAGGAAAAAACATGAAACTACTACCTTCTTATAAATCAACAACTTGTATCTATTCATAAACATATATATTAAACTGTAATATGATTAATGACAATGATCATTTAAAAGTAACATTAAGGACCAAAGATTTAATAAGTTTTTACAAAACTGCAGAGAGCTTGTTACAAGCAATTGTAAAAAGTTTTTATATGTTCTTAAAAGAAGCAATTATGATAATTGCTGTATATGAAAAGATATATTGTGCAACATCTTTTCATCTATATATATGTACAATAATTAGAGGTATTAACTTGGATGAAAACACAAATGATCTTTTAAGCAATCAATGCACAGAAACAGGTTTTTAGCAATATACTTCTATTTTTTCATATTTATCTTAACTATGTGTTAGCATGTTCTAAATAAATGAAAGATAATCCAATTTAAATCACACAGGGTAGGTGAGGTATTTTAAAATTGTTAAGTGTAATACTATTGCAAACATTGTCTGCTATTTTAACAACTTCATTTTTTTTGTCAAGTTTCATCACTCATATTATCATACATATAGGAAGTGTTTATCTCATTGTGCGTGCAAAGGAATGTCTGTGGTTATTTGTAGGCAATTATTAGATTAATAGTAATTTGAGTATTTGCATTATCAGCATTGTAAAAATGCGCACTGTCCAATTAACATAAATGAAAAATTAGCTTTAACATGTAATATGAAATTTTTAGCACGAAATTAATTTAATTAATGAAAACAAAAAGCCATGACAGTAGCCTAATAAAGCAAAGTATAGGCCTAAGCCAATGGTACCTTATGTAAGTCAGTGTACATACCACACCATTAACTCATTAAGGAACAATAAATTGTTGTGTACACAATATTATATACAATCTTATACAGACATATAAATACATAAATATATATATATTATATAAAAATATATGTAAGTTGTACACATATATTTAAAATTATGTTATTTGGTTATTAAACAATTATATAAAAAAAAATGTAGTTATTTTAAGGTATATGCCACGTTCAGAACCAGTTCCGATTAATCCGAAAAATCTGTACATATCCTTTTATTCTAAATATTATCCCAAAGGTATGATTGAGAGTAATGAAGGCAAAATATAAATTAAAATGTTTATTTTGCACTTGCTAATTAAATATATTTGTACATTATTTTTAAGAGAAATATTGTTTATCCATAAAATTACGTTTTAAGATCTTTTTCAAATAAGAATAATTTTTGATTCTGTACTTTAATGTTAGACAAATACAAGATGGATATACATAAAATACTTTGATAATGTCAACTTCCAAAGAGTATGACATTAATGTATTAGTACTTTTTTGCTAAAGCAATGATTGCTCTAGCATTATCTTTTCAAAACCTGTAGGTGGAGGATGAGCAAAATTATCCAAAATTAAGTCTAAAATGGCCCCATCGTCCACTAAAAAGAAAAATTACCCTGTATACTTGTACACGAATACCCTTAATTCTGTAAACTCTTTTGATCTGAAAAAAATTACCATAAAGTACTGGATACACAGTCCCTTTTATGCCCATTATAGGGGCATCCATTGATTTTCCATTTAAATAGAAATTAAGTTCTATGTGGTCATAAGATACACCCTGATAAACAACATATCATTAGTTTATCATTGTACGCATTCTTATATCATTCCTACTTACAATAATGTCTCCTTCTTGAACTTGATTTTGTATTTTATGTATTTCTTGTTGATTATGCCTTATAATACCATCGGAATTAAGTGCCCAACTTTCTGTATCATTTCCCCCAATAGCAACATTGAGATCTGTGGATCTTGTGGCTAATCCAATTGCCCATATACCACCTTGTTGTATTTTAACTTCAAAATAACTTTTACTTTGGGCAAGAGGAGCATTTGTTAAGGCACCACCACGACCACATACTCTTAGACCGTTTTTTACTATCACAACTTCATGTCCTGTACCAATTTGACAATTTCTTTAAATTCTATTACATTAAAATAACTCTGCATTCCTTATCGTTAATTAGAAGTTTCAACGTGACAATAATAGATCATCAATATCCTTAATTTTGGAATGCGGAAAAAATATAAATTCTATGCAAAATTCGATGATACAAATTTAATATTCTTAGACATTATCCTGATCGTTAGAATAAAAATTACCCATGAAAGATGTGTCTAAAGCTATAGGATTTGGTTCTTTCTTCGGCATTTGTGTTGCGGCAAAGCCGAGGCCGTCAAAACAGTTTCTTAAACAGCAAAACATCATTGTCATTTTACGATTCTTTTAAATAGATAATTACGTCATCATGATGCTTCTAGGAGAAAAATTGTTTTTCCTCCTGTAGAATTCGAACACCTTGCAATATTTACTTTTGTTGCACAGAAACTGTTATAATACTTAAATATAAACGAAACGCAGTGATGCGCGCATTTGATGCACAGCATAAAGTATATAGGCTTCCTTAGAGAAAATGGCGTTACAGAGGAAGTAGGAATTCTCAAAATCTTAATTATGATGATATTAATATTATAAATGATTTAGAAACAAAACGTTATAATTTTTAATTGTTAAATTTTATAAAATTTACTGTATACTGTGCTTGATATTGGTCGCGTATCTCGTTGGGTGAGCTTGTGGCGCCTCTTCCCATATGACAAAAAATATTTCAGATGTCGGTGTTTCAGATCATGAAACAAATTCCGATAAAGGGTTACTCTATGTTGTACCTCGTTTATGGTAAATAGGGCACCCTAGTGACATCTTTCAACATTGACCGTATAACCAGTGTTTCTATTTCTTTTTAATTGGCACGTTATATCCGGCATACAGAAATTTTGGCAAACGGACAATTGTTGCAGCAAGCTGACAACCTGTAACGAGTCAAGGTAGATTTAATAATATTTAAGCGGCATACAATTTACACGCACAGTTTATCAGTTTGCAACATCAACGACAGTTGAATTAGTTGTACTTTGCTATATAATCGTCAAATTAATCGATCAATACGGCACATGGCGGATTCGTGTTAATAATATTCCAGTGAAAAATTTACTGTTTGTTCGAACGCGGTTGCATAAACTATTGGCTCATTGGTTCGTAAATGGTCCCTTTTAATTTCGTTCTTTGATTGATGTGATATATATTTAATTTATAGTTATAACCTATCGTACACGATTTTATATATATTACAAACATCTGCTTTCTACTCATGACAATATTTAAAGTTTAAATGATCTAAAAACCTATCAGCTTCTCTTAAGCTATGCTTAAAAATCTTGAACAAATATTGGTGTAGTTGATGGTTAATTTATAAATTCCAGGAACTAAAGCCAGAATGTCAACTTTTCTTGGGCTTATTAAGGAGATACCAGGCATCTCAGTGGATCGTTTTGATGGAGAGAATTTAACATCTTCTGTATTTTTTCTTAGTCATTGTCATTATGATCATATGCATGGTTTAGCTGACCATTTTTTCGAATATTTAGATGAAAATAATAAATATCTATATTGTAGTCATATCACAAAAGCACTGTTAAAAAATAAATTTAAATTTAAAGATAATTGTGTAAAAGAAGTAACTATTGACACATCTATTGTTATAGAATATAAAGTACAGAATGAAGATGAAATCCTTATTTCTGTAACTTCTATATCTGCAGGACATTGTCCTGGATCAGTAATGTTTCTTTTCGAAAGAAATAATGTTTCAGTATTATATACTGGTGATTTTCGTATTAATCCAAAGGATTTCTCAAAGTTGAAAAGTTTACATTATTGTAAAGATTCTAAATTGTTTCCTAGAATATTTACCAAAATCTATTTAGATACAACATTTCTAAGCAATGATTTTGCCTTTTTTCCAACTAGACAAGAGACTGTACTGAAAATATGTACAGTTATTAAAGACTGGTTAAATAAGGACCCAAGAAATGTTGTTATTCTGGAATGTTCAGCCACATACGGTTCTGAATTTCTTTTTATAGAATTATCTAAAGTGTTAAATATGAAAATTCATGTAAAAAATTATGTATATGAAACTTATTGTCGCATTGAACAACTATCATGTTGTGTTACAAATGATCCAAATAGTACACCAATACATGCTTGTAAGCAAAAAATATCTTCATCAGGTTTACATTGTAGAAGCAATGTAAAAAAAGAAAATATTATGATTATTATTCCATCTGTAATGAAATGGAGAAAAAAAGATACAAGTGTAATAGGAGAGTGGGATACAGTGAGAGAAAGAACTTTCAATGTATGTTATGCTACTCACTCTTCTTTCAATGAACTCAAAGCATTTATTCAGTATTTTAAGGCATTAGAGATATATCCTTGTGTTGTTAAAACAGAAGAAGAACAAGAGGTATATCATTTGTTAGATGAAATCGCAAACAAATCAGATAAACAGATAATATTGAAACAGACATATAAATTAAAGCTTCCAAATAAAGAAGTATCAAATAAAGTTCCATTTAAATCTGAATATTTTAGTAGCGACGATGATAGTTTGTGATACTAATTAATATTTGTTTGCTAATGGACACTAGATACTAATTAATATTTGTTTGTTAATGGCCACTAGATACTAATTTTTGCAATATGTTGTTATATGATTTTAAAAATCTGATAGATTTATACAATATTGTATATGTTTTATATGTATTTTATACACAAAGTTGTATTTTCAATAAATACAGTTAACTAAACATTTTTTAATATATTTATTTTTCATACACAAGTACATCTAATTTATACATGTATTTCAATCTTTTATACTTTGATGTAATTAAACTAAAAATTTATAAAGAATTTCAAAAACTTCTGAGATTGGTAAATTTTCATGTTACAGAAATTTACTTGCATCTTTATTATTGAATAAATCATCTAAAACATGGAAAAATCAGCATTAGCCCAAGAAAAGGTATGGTTTGATAAGCCATCCTATGACAAGGCAGAACGGCTATATTTTGAAAGAATGGCTAAGGTAAGTACTTCAGTTGCAGTATTTTATATTAATATTACTGAATAAAGATGATTGCCAACAGGAATAGGGTGAATGTTTTTAAACATACAGTAAAATTAATACGAAAAACATTTGGTTTTTATTCATTTTGATTATGGTAATGTTAAATCAGATTTTTATTGGCAATGTCTGAAAGTATGTTTATAAACAGAAAATTTTAAACCTATTATTGTTAGCCCCAACATCTATAACTAATGTGTGCTCTTTTGTTATGCCTTATGTTCTTTTTGTTGTACTAACTAAAAACTAACATTTCTAACACACACTTCAGGGAATATCTGGTGATAGGGAACATTTCACCTGCTTATAATTTCACAAGGTGTTGGGAATTTTATTTTTCTTCTAAGAACTTAATTCCCATTTATAGTTGCATATTTAAAAACAATTATGTGATGTTTTATTTTTCCTTTCCTAATACAAAGTATTTATAATAAATATAAAACATATAATATCAGAGTTGCAATATAATTTGCTATTAAGTTGCGTATATTGTTTGATTACACACAATGTATTATATTACATGTTTATGTCATTCATAAGTTAAATAATGCATGAAACTTTTACTAAAGATATTTGATTTCTATGCAGTTATATTTGAGTAGTAACAATATAAAATGTATTAAATCTATAACAGAAACAAGCTTTGTTTAGTTTCCATTTTATATGCAATATTTACAAGACATTAGTTCCTACTTGCATAGCTTGACACATGTTTCAAGGTGGTGTCCCATAAAATTATGGAAAGCTGCTCTCTTAAATCTGAGGTTTCTCTAACAAACAATTGTCAAGATATTCTGAATAGTAATTCTTTATCTAAGACAAAATCTAAGAAATCTAAAGATAATCAACTGATAATTTCTGATAACATCTCAAATGACATAACAAATTCCAAGAAAAAGATGTCAAACACGAATAAAGATGAGGATGAATACAATATGCAGAAAAAAGAAAATGTAGAAGAAAAGCAGAAGTCTGTAAAATTTAAGAATGATACAAAGGGGGAAGAAACTAGCCCTACAAATGATGTATCTAAGAAATATAATACAAAAGAAGTAAAAGAAGAAAAGAATAAAGCTGATACAAGACATAGAAATAGGGGAAAGGCAAAGAAAGATGCTAAGGAAAGCAAAGAAAATGTTGCATCATTAACAAGGAATAAGCAGCAGTTACCTACTCAGGTACATACTGTAATGCATACTTAATATTTTGTGTGCATCAATTAAATATTTATAGTATTTTATTTATTTCATTATTATATAAATTTTATTGCATAGATCATTGCAGAAAAATGCTTACATCTAAAATATTTATTAAAAATATTTTGTTCTTATTTATTATCATATTATCACCAATCAATAATCACTTCATAAATATCCAATTAATACTGTTAGCGTACGAACACTAGCGTATGAACTGCTCTGCCTTCTTTTTAACATTTTGCATGCTTTTTGTATTGTCAAAAGGAATTGCAATATTTGTGTGTTTTGTTATAACTCTAAGCTTATTAACCAAACATTTATGTATAACAGTGATGAATATTTTTTTGTTTTAATTTTTTGTCTTGTATTAACAAATTGATATGCTTATTCATTCACATGCAAAATATCTACTTCCACTTGGTTTTCTTTAAATAATCCACCTAAATATTATGAATTGTTTAATGTCTTTAATAAACAACTTAAACATATTTCATAAGAATGATCAAAGTATAATATATGTACAGTCCTATTAACATTATTCTTTAAACCCTAGTGGAAGTATGATACTGAATTGATAACAATGAGTTTAGTTTGAGTTGATGTTTAATATTGGTGAATGCAGGGAAATCAGCAAACCACTAGTTCAATGCTATCTGCTGGTGGAAGTTTAGCCAATGAAGTGGCCAAGGCTCGTCAACATATTAAACAATCCTTACAGTGTGTGAGTACTGCACTCTTTGCACACCCTTATAATAACAAATTTACAAACCTGCTTACTAATATGATATCCAAATCGGAATGTAAATTGGTAGATGTAATATTTAATTATTTAATTAACTCTTTGATTGAAATTTCTATGGACCATTGTTTCTACTATATATTATTATGCTTATTTTATAGATGGACGATATTGCAGCTGTGGCTGGTCTAACTGCTCCAAATGATAACAAGAAAGACACAGTTGATGTTAGCCGTGAGTATCATGCTTTTCATGGAAAATCATTAGTTAGTATCGTAAAATTCACCATATTGTACAATTTCATCGATAGTCGTTCAATCATTGAAAAATATTATTGACAAATTGGATGAACGTGTGAAAGCTCTTGAAGACAAGGTTTCACTCCTATATACCGCTCCTCCAACACTAGCTGTTTGCCCTGCTAAACCTGAACCAGCTACAAAGCAAACGCAGGAAAAAGCCGACGATGACGAGGATGTCGATCTCTTTGGTTCAGATTCAGAGGCAAGTGAGCAGTAATAGTGGAAGATATAAAGCGATCAATCCCCCTTCTATTTACATAATATTTAAAATCATTTGTGCACGATACATTTAGTACACTTCACACATTTTTTTCAAGTAGGATAAAAAAGTGATAAAATGATACGACATTTACAAAATAATAGTACACCAGATATTCCCAGAATACTGATACATTTAACCCTGTTTTCTTGTATACCACGTCGGTTCAACACAAAACATTACACAATTATTAAAATTTCTATATTTTTACTTATGGCCTATGCTGTAAACTCTTCAAATACTTGGCTTATTAGGGAGAGGATGCAGAAGCTGCAAAAATTAGGGAAGAAAGATTGGCTGCGTATGCCGCGAAAAAGTCCAAAAGTAAGTTATCTACTGAATTTCTACTTGAAATATAATTTTCTTTATGTTCATATATAATGGTATTTTATAGAACCAGCTTTGATCGCTAAGTCGAACATAATATTAGACGTGAAACCGTGGGACGACGAAACAGATATGAAAGCTATGGAAACTGAAGTGCGAAAAATTGAGTGTGATGGTTTATTATGGGGCGCAGGTAAGTTAAAGGCATAAGTTGCTTTATGATAGCTACGTTTTAAATTCTAAATACGAATATTTCTTTTTGTTCACAGCAAAACTTGTTCCACTAGCTTTTGGAATTCACAAACTTCAAATTTCTTGTGTCGTAGAAGACGACAAAGTTTCTGTAGATTGGCTGACAGAAAAAATTCAGGAAATCGAGGATTTTGTACAAAGCGTAGATATTGCAGCTTTTAATAAAGTATAAAACATTAACGAATTATACTTCATAGAAAATATTTTACCGTTCTAATTGCAATCAGGCATTGATCTGTTGTGCCATCTATTCATTCCACTAGCAATATCTATTTCAGCGAATACATTACATACGTATTATATATTAAATGTGATTGTCCAAGAATCAGAATCTCTAGCTATCGTACTCCAATTTCAATACTCGATGGTGTCAATTTATTAAACCGTTTCTAATACTCAAGTAAATTTTTCAATTATTGTCGAAACATCGATATACTATTTATACAAAGAAAACACTATCGTACTATGAATGTTGTAAATGTAATCAAACGTATGAAATTATAATGTCAATGTAATACCACTTCATTTATTTGAAAAGAAAGTCATGAAATAGATGATATTGCAAGTAAAATAATGCCAATTACTAGTACCATTTTTAAGTGTTTGTTTTGGAACATTGTTATTATGAATAAAAATTATGAACGTATTTCTTGGTTTATTAATTTCCCTTTTTGTGTTTGCTATGTTTTTATTCTGTAATATAAATTATTGGAAGAGTATTTTGTCCCTGTGGTGCCCTCTTGTAGCAAAAGCTAATAGAACTTAATGACCACTTCGAGTTATGTTTTGACGTAAAGAAGACGCGTTGTATTCGAGTAAACAAATTTATTTTGTAGTTTCTTTTCCCGTGTAAAGTGACAAAATACCTATTTTTCCAAAATGACTATGGCAATGCTTCAACGGAGGGCCAATGTAAGCATATAAATTAGCATGTAAAGCACGTATTACTAAGTGTTTGGTAACCTAACCTATAATTATTATTTTCTAAACTATTTTCTTCAGGTAAGATTGCCTCCGGAAGTGAATAGAGTATTATACATAAGGAATTTGCCTTACAAAATCACAGCTGAAGAAATGTATGATATTTTTGGCAAATATGGAGCTATCAGACAAATTCGAGTGTAAGCGATCAATTACAATAATATGTGCAAATATTAACTTTACAATGCTAAGATATATGCTTAAAGCTTTTTATTGTTGTCTAATAACATTTAGTATCTTTCAATCTTTTTCCTTCTAGGGGTAATACAGCTGAGACTAGAGGGACAGCTTTTGTTGTTTACGAAGACATATTCGATGCCAAAAATGCATGCGACCACTTGAGTGGATTCAATGTTTGTAACAGATACCTGGTAGTGTTATATTATCAAAGCAATAAGGCCTTTAAACGGGTTGATGTAGATAAAAAGATGGAAGAGATAGATAAATTAAAGACAAAATATAATCTTAACGAAGAAAAGAAATAATTATGTAACTATTATAACTTAATTAAGATACCAAATATAATCTCCTGTTGTTTATTTATAATAATTACCGTCTGTCTATTTCTTATAGCCCAAGCAATTTACTTGTATACTATACTAATCTCACGTAAAAGAATAACTTACACGTATCGGTCGGATCGAGATGACTGCCGCGCGGTGTGACCTCAAGGTAAATAAAAAAAGATGTACTTACTTGTCGTCGTCGTGAAGTGCAGTACGCGCGTGTCACTTGTAATTTAATCGCTCAACTCATCTTGTCGACACCGGCGTTTTGTAATACGAACTCGACAGGGCTATGTTTACTCGCCGGGATACTCGATATTTAATGCTGGATAGGAACACGAGTAACGACGATACAGACAACACGCACGCGCGCGCTCATGTAAACACACTTACACAAAGGTCGGTAGCAGCGGCTCGCCGGCAGTACATTCGATTTCAGTCGAAAGCGAAAACCCGCTTAGTCCGTTTAGTCGTGTTGTCGCGGCGCGCCGTTTTACAGCGCGACATTTTTATGGGTGCTCCCTATTTATTCGTCGATCTAAACTCGTCATACTTCGTCCGGTCGGAGTATTCGAAGTTACCACGGGTACTGGTCAAATGTCGTTCGATTGTTGTGGTAGCGGCGATGTCGCCGGCGAGACGTTCGCGACCGTCCTTGAGAACGTGTCTGGTATACTACGCGTAGTCTACGACAATTTTCCTCGCGACGTTATTCAATTAATATTTGGGAGCCGTTGGTCGTTCCTCGTCGTTGCTGTTCTCCTATTAACAGCTGTATTTACGCTAGGCCGCGTTCACGTCACGCCGCCTCGAGCGAACAGACTTGAATAGTAGCGCGATCTTTCGGAGCACGGGGGAGACTGATTTTGTTTTGCCGTATAATCGTCGGTGTAAATAAGAGGCGGTGTTTGAACGATCGAATATAATACTTCGTAGTCGGTGTGCGTATGTAGCACGTTTCCGCGACTTATTTTCGTTATACATCCGTGATGTCTAACGCGATGTAAACAGTTTCGGAGTACGAATGGCGTCGGACTGATCGGTCGGGTATATCGCGTCATGGTGCGTGTCTGAGGTATTATCGCGTTTGCTCGGATAGCGATTCGATTCCTTGCCTCCGGCTGGTTCGAGGATCGTGTTTACTACGTAAAGTACGTCACCGTATACACCGGGTAACTATGGTGTGCCGTCTGTTAATGTTGCTGACACGAACGTTATCCGAGAAAAAGAAACAACGGCGTCGCGTGGAAGAGGAATGAATGAACGGGAACAGGAGGATCGAGGCGTGGCGGGAGGGGATGCAACGACCGTCGTGTTGTGACGGCCTGCTGCCTGCTTGCCGATTTGTATCGAGGTGAGAGTATTTACTGTATATACGTGCATATGCACGTGTGTATTTATTCGCGCGATCAACCGTGTCCACACTGTCGTCACTGTCGCCGGCGTACACTTTGCGTACACACAGCCACGTTATTTATGCGTGGCCGCGTTCACGCAATTCGTACGAGCGAATTCGTTCTGGTCACGTGAGTCAATGTCCGCGTTCTGCTCTTCTCAAATATATCATAATATACATCATAGCGATAACGAAATTTTAATTGTCGAATCGAATCGCTACCAGGCTCCCGCAAAACTGACATTTTAAGATATTTACTATGGCTTACTTATCTTACCCTATGATAAATTTGCTTCCTACGCTATGTACGACATTTATAATCAGAATCAGATACGAAATAAGAACAGAGATGACATTGGAGCTATGTTAAAAACTCACCGTTCTGTCAGACTATACGTGTACAGTTTCACTCGGAGACGATTCACTTGTAGTCCTTTTTAAAAGTGCACGAAAGTGAGCAGGTGTCAGGTACTCAGGCAAGTATGTTTGTCTGCTGTCTGGATAAATACGTCGTCGCGCTACCGGCTTTTGAGCTGCTTCTCTTTACACGTTAATACCGGAGAACTTTGTCGAAGGCAGAACTTAAAGTTGCTTTTACGTACTTGCTTCTACACGCGTAATTTACAGACCGCGCAAGTAAATAAATCTTTTCACACGCGTGTATTTTGAGACTACTCTTGCAATTCGAATCGGAATCGGTACTCTTTCGATTTTAGTTAAGTTTTTGTTAGAACCGCGTTTTCAATATGTCTTCCATTTTTTTTTTTTAAATCTTCGAGCATGGAGTTACTAAAAGTGGCGTAGCTAAAAACGCATGATTTAAGAAGCTTAAGGCTTTTTGTACGCGTTTTCATAGATGATAGATGTCGCGTCTTTCGTAGATCTTAGATGTAGATTGCACAACCCAAACTACACACCAGAGGTTGTTAGTGGTCAAACATCTTCCGTTCGAATGTTTAAAAGTGAAAAGTGGCGTGTAGTTTTCTATAAATTGTGGTGTATAATTCTTTCAAATCTCTAATAATACATGTCTTTATACGTATTCAGGTATGTAGAAACGATATCATCATCATACAATATAATTTTAAGTGTAGCATAAGATAATTACGTATTACGCCGCGCTGAAGGTATAGCGGGAACCCACGAGCACTCCATAAGAAAGAAATACAGTAAAGTTTAGAAAAATGATTGAAATAATGACTGAAATTGAAAAGTTTGATCACCGATTAGTAATTAGATGTTTAGTTTAATGCTCGCACGACATATAATTAAATATCGCGAATGAAATGTTCACGAATCACATGTAGTGACGTAACAGTATAAAAATCAAAATGGCGTCGGTATTCAAACACAGTATTATACTCTCGTTCGTTTTTCAATTAAAGTCTTTGGTATGCTACTTAAAACTTTCTATCTTAATTACTCGATTATACTAAACTTGAAACGTTGATCAGAGGACGAACCCCTTCGATAATTATTTCGAATTACTAATGATGCCTGTTTTAATTACAGGTGGTGTGCCCCTTCCTCGTTGGAGACGAGCTATGCGGTGAGTCTCAGTTTCCATGCTACTTTGTAACATTAGATTGTTCGATGAGGTTATGCTGCGGTATCTCGCTATCCGTTTCGAGTATTATTCCATAATCTTATTGGCTGTATCTTAATGCGCGATGCGTTCCTAGTATAAGTTTTAAGTTAAGCAAATGGGTAAATGAAATACCCGGTACATTTGAGACGACTTTCTCAAAAGCGAAGTACTTGGTACTAATTATACGCTCTAATTTCCATTTCTAAAATTGATTTAAATGTCTTTGATCCTGGACGAACGGTCGGCTACAATGTTCCTCAGTAAATTACGTTTAAAATTGTCCCGTTTCGAGCGCGCAAATAGCCTTAACACGTGGCGTGGAAACCGCGGCGAGCAAAAGAACGGTACGTGGAAAACAAGTGTGTCCAGCGCACGCATACACGCGTCAGTCTCGTGTTTGCATTGCGTGCAGTTATGCCTAATTGGTGGCTCGCCTGGTTGCATGCGGAAAGTAACTTGATTATTTCTTCGCGTAATTAACTGATGAACGGGCGTTAAACGTGTCGGCGCGTTTCTCTTTCAATGATATTCAGTTTGTCCCATAATTGGCCAACGAGAGTGTACACCTATATTTTCTCTGAACCATGAAGTATTTAACGAGTTTATAATTTTGTTCTTTCGATTGAAAAGTCAACTAGGAAGGGGTTCGAATGAAATAAGCTTTCCGGTGGTTCGATCATTCCGTCCACGTTTCGATTGATCTATCGGTTCACGGAAGTCCGTATTGATCGTTACGCGTTGTAAAAATTCAAGGATTCCACGAATGTTCGTTCTGGTAGGCGTCCGGTCGCGTGGAATGAATCACGAGCGCGATTTGAAACGCAAAAGAGCAGAGGGCGAGGCGGGTTCGAGCGGACGCCGGGACGCTTTCTACGCCAAAATTTCCGTTCGACCCGCGAATATCTACATAATACGTCGGAAATGGCGATCGTACGATCGCGCCACGTCATTTGCATCCGCTGGAATTGGCTAATCGACAATTCTCCGCGTAGGTCGACCGCTCGAGGATATCAACCGATCTTCCGTGTGAACGCGACTCTCCGCTTCGTATCTCGTCAGAACTGTCTCTGAACTTTGACACCCGGGACTGAAAACGATCCCGCAATATTACCCCGTATAAATAGCCGTTTCTCGGCTCGGTATTAATATTAATCGTCGATCGATAAAAGGGCGGGGAAAAAAGTAAAAAAGGAAACGAGATCTCCCTTAGCAGTGAACGCAGATTTGAAACGCGGCACACGAAGCGGAACGAGGTCGTCGGCTCGCGCGTTTATGAATGTTACATGTTACATGCATGAACTGAACTGGTGGCGTTCTCAGACGTTCGATTCGTTCCGTTGATTTGCCTCTGTTACTTTTAGGAGTTCGGCTCTAGTACCGCGAACCATTTGTCTTCATCTTCCTCGTCATTTCTTTTCATTTGTTCCATCGGCGTGGAACAAGACCCTCCGTCACCCTATTCTATTAGCGAACCTCTGGCTGGCATATGCAACGCTCTTATCGTTATTGTAGAACGATGTCCCGTTCACTGAACCTTTCTTCTTAACTACAGTTGAATCCTACAGTATACTTCTATCTTTTTTTTCTAGTCCATTTCGCGTTAGACACTGCGAGGTCGCTTCTAACTAAAAGGCGTCTGTGAAAAATGCATCGTCACGGAACGAGATCGAAGCTCGCTCGAAGCTCGCTCGAATTCGTACAGATCTTAGAAGGATATTTGTAGATTTTAGTAAATTCATATTACTCCAAGGACGTAAAATGATTACATTCTTTATTTATAAGTTAATAGTTTTCGACCCGTAGAATCCAAAAATATAAGTCGTAGCTTTAGGAAATTAGCGGTTCAAAAGTTATGGGTATGTAAAGTTTCACGTTTTTGGGGTATTTTACACCTTACTTTGACGCCATGTTGCTTCCATCTAGCATTTGATTGGCCCGCATAGATGAGCATTCAGCGGCCATTTGTTCCACACGTATTAGGTTAGGTTAGGCTATATATTTAAATCTTAATATTGTTGAAATAATTTCTTTGAAAGGGCTCTCTTTAAAATATGAGGTTGGTGATACTGATATGTAGGTTCTCAGCTTTGGTACACCCTGAATGCTCATCTATGCGGGCCAATCAAATGATAGATGGAAGCAAAATGGCGTCAAACTAACATGTAAAATCCCTAAAAAAGCGAAACTTTACATACCCGTAACTTTTGAACCGCTGATTTTCTAAAGCTACAACTTATATTTTTGGATTCTACGCGTCAACTATTAAAGGGCAATCATTTTACGTCCTTGGAATCCAAGTTTAACCCTCGGTCATGTTCGGTTGCATCATTGTCAGCATA